AATAGATAATGTTGCAAAGGCGTAGTTACTAGCTTTCAAGTTGATATGAAAGATAGTGGATTCTTTTTTCCATCAATTACCCTTTCCAATAAGTAGAAGGCATTACTAAGTATCAAAAACTTTTATCAGCTGGATTATAGAAAGTACTTAGGGTTTCAAAGGAGAGAAATGGACTCTGGTTTGCTTTAGAAGAAATGACATTGGTAGAAGTATTTTAGAAACATGTGAAACAGAATTATTGTGAACAAGCTTCCTAAAGGTCAATCAAAAGGCATTCTTGGGTCAAAACTAACTAACTTGTAATCAACTTACCAAATTGCAATCATCTTTCATTTTTACTGTCAGACTGCACCATCACTTCCAGAAACTAGGAGTCTATGACGGCTTAGTATACCAATGTCCTGAACGTCTGGGCAAATCTTTCTTTATGGTGCAGTTATATGGATGAATGGTAACAAGTCCTCATACGAAGACAAGTAATTAAGGTTAGCTCTTGAGCTAATATATTGAATTGGAAATCTCTGAGATGTATGCTTGTATTGATATTAGTTTTAAAGTTCACTACTTCCTACTTGGTTAAATATGTTTAACATTTGCTTTCGTATATTGGCTCACATTTACAGATACATATGTTAAAGTTCTGAAATTCGTTGTGCTAATTTCTACTTTAGTCAGAATTTCAACTCCATAACAACTGCAACAACAAATGTCTAAATTTCTTAAGGCAGAATGAATTTACTTCAGTTTATTATTTCAGTCTATAGTCCTTAGCTCTATTAACTCTAGACTATAGTGAGGAAGTTCATTAAGAGAGTAATAGAATTATCCTATCCTGGAAGAGGAGAGAGACAGAGACAGAGACAGACCTCCATGGCAAGATTATCACTCAAGATCATGCTGACAGTGAATTATTATCTCCAATTAATATTTAAGTCCTAAAATTTATTTTTCAAGACCTCTCAAAGGAACAGCTTCATTTGGTTTAAATGTAACTTTTATTCTCCAAATGTAACTGTTGTCTCAGAAGCTTAATGCCTCCCTCTGATAATCTAGGCCTATTCCTGGAGGCTTCTAGCTTCTGTACAATCTGATCTAGGTCTAGAATGTTTTCAGCATCTATGACTTACTTTAGAATATGCTTACCCTTTCTAGTTCTTTCTGAACTCTAGCTGGCTGGTTCAACTCAGCTATTCTGGCTCAAACATCTCTCCAAGCTGACTGATTCAAACTGGCTTCCCTCGTGTCCTGACTGAATTGTTCTGCTTGACCTCAAACTAATTCTAGCAATCTGTTCTAATCTTCTGCCTCCTTGTCATCCTCTGGCTTTGTTCTATCTTCACCTGTGTCTAGCTTGTTTTCTCTTCCACCTTTCTCTGTAAAATTCTCCTAGAAAAGTGCCTCTGAACTCTATGAACTGAAGTGCCACCAACTGCACTATTATGAACTCAACTGGCTCCCAACTCATTGAATAATCTCTCTCTGCACTGTTCTCTTAAAATGGTTCTCTTTCCTCCCTTTTGGGAATGTCCTCTTTCTGACTCATTCTGTCAAATATTTCTCTGATTTGTCACTTTTTCTGCCCCTCAATTAGACATCACTTTCAAACATGGCTTCTTCTTTTTTACAAACTAACCTTACCTTCATTGTTAGGGATCAAAAGTGTGTACTAAGGTTGTGTCTGTATTCCTGCCAGATCATACTACAGTCCAGGGCATGTCTTCGTTCCAGCCAGATCACAGAAACTGAAGGTCTTTGGATGTGATCCCTTGTCAGAGCAGCCTTGTTGCTGCATTAAAATTCCTCTACAATCAATGGACCAGGCTTTTTAACACACAAGGCTTTTTTAATCTATCATGCTATGTACTGCATAAGGCAATGACTTCTCTTTGTAAGAATCACATTCTAGCCAAATCAAAATATATATCTTTGACCCCCCCAAATGACATTCACATTTCATAATACACAATCCACTTAGTCTATCTCCTCTCATTCAAGTAGTCTGTTCCACTAGTGTTCAAAAGTTTGGCTCTAGGTATCTTTTAAGATTCAAGGCAAACTTAATTATGAGTTCTTTTAAAGTTTAAAAAGCAATTTGGAACTGACAATAACTCAGAGCAGACATTACCTTTTCAAAAGGAAGCATAGGAAGGAGGGGCATAAGAAGGAGGGATGTTACCCAAGCAAGACTGAAAAACAGAAAATCATTCAAATCTGGAGATCCATGTCTAGTGTTTGAAATACATGATGGCATGCTATGAGGCCTGAAGGGAATGCACAACCTATTCTATGAGTTTGCCATTTATAGATCATAAGATCTTCTTCTGGGGCTGGCTCTTCTCAGTGTCCATGTCTTCCTTTGGTAGATGTTCCACATCTGTGACACCTCTTCAGTTTGTTAGGGTCTTCAATACATCTTTTGCTTCACTATCACAGTCACCCTCTCAAAGATTGTCTGTATGAATAGTTGCTTTCAAACACATTTCCTGGCCCTGCAGAATTTCTTTTGAAGTGTCTATACACCTACAACTTTTTAATTTTGCATATCTGATAAACAAGCATTATTTAGGTCATGTCAGTGTCTGCTCCTAACTTGAACAGCAGCTAGCATCTGATTCAGTGCCCTCTAAGAGCCTAAATAAATGAAGCTGTGGCCCACTTTCCTTAGATAATGTTTCCAAGTAGCACCCTGTTCTCAAGGGAAAGTCTCACAAGTGAGTTTATTGTTTCATACTATTTAAGTTGCAAAGGATACAATTCGACCAATTCTTAAAATAATGACAAGATGTCCTTTACTGTTCCTGATGCAAAGTACTTGTTTCCTTTTAATGACAACAATATTTTTAGAACCATTGGTTCTATAACCTCAGTTTTACATGGACTTTTCTGACATGAACTTTAAATCTGTCAAAATATTTCTTCTCTGCTCTTTTCATCTAGAAAAGCAACTGGTAGTAACCGTGCCATAGTCTAAATGCTGGGTTGCCTTAAAAGGGCATCCAGTAGATTAACTAGTCTCTTAGATAAATCCAATAAGAACATGATAGGTGATTTAACTACATTTGGTTTGCAAGTACTTTATTGAGAATTTTTGAGTCAATGCTCATCTGGGGTAATGGCCAATTGATTAAATATCAGAATGAGCTAAGCATAAAACAAAGCTCTATTACAGAAATGCAGAATTATTGAGAACAGTGCAGGAGGAGGAGGTGTTGGGAGCGGGAGGGGAAAAGCAGGTGTGGAGAGAAAGTGAACAGAGACCCTGAAAAGATAGATAAGAGCAGACAGACTAGAGAGCAGAGGAGAGAGGAGAGTGGGTGAAGAGGAAAGGCAGAGACAGACAGAGAATGGAGCAAGGGCAAAAGGAGTTAAAAGGGAGAAAGGAACCAAAATGTCTGGATTAGCTAGCAAAAGAGCCTTTGGGAGAGGGGAAGCACCGCCTCTAGGTCGAGTCTAGGGTACATCAGCCAAGTAAGAAACCTAACAATGGCTTGTGGGTTTTTTGGTTTGTTTGATTTTTATTTTTATTTTTTTTAATTTTATTTTTCTCATTAGTTACATTTTGTTAATTCTGTATCCCAGCTTTATCCCTCATTCCCTCTCCAATCCCACCCTCCCTCCCTCGTCTCCTCCCTGCCCCTTTCCAAGTCCACTGATAGGGGAGGACCTCCTCCCCTTTCATATGACTCTGTTTTGTCAGGTATTTTTAGGACTGCCTGCAAAGTCCTCCTCTGTGGCCTAACAGTGCTGCTCCTCCCTTGGGAGTTGGGGAGGTCAAAGAGCCAGTCGTTGAGTTCCTGTTAGAAATAGTCCTTGTTCCCCTTACTATGGGAAACCAATTGGTTACTGAGCTATCACGGGTCACATCCGAGCAGAGGTTCTAGGTTTTATCCTCTCATGGTCTTTGGTTGAGTGTCCATCTCAGAAAAGACCCTGTGCCCAGATATGTTTGGTCCTTGTAGAGCTCCTATCCTTTCCACATCAAACTCCCCTTCTTTCATATGATTCCCTGTACTCTGCCTAGGGTTTGGTTATGAGTCTTAGTATTTACTTTGGAACACTGCTAGGCAGAGTCTTTCAGATGCTTTCTGCGGTAGACTCCTGTCAATGCATTTGTCTTTCTAAATGAGGATTGATCATCTGTTTGATTTTTAAATGTTATGTCTTCCGTCCTATTATAAGGCCTTGTTTCGTAGGTGTCCTTCTCCAACCTCTCTTACTCTTTTTAATTGTTTTCTTCATTATTATTATTTATTACAATTTATTCACTTTGTATCCATGCTGTAGGCCCCTCCCTAATCTTATTCTGGTCCCGCCCTCCCTCCGTCTTCTCCCACTATGCCCCTCTCCTAATCCACTGATAGGGGAGGCCCTCCTCCCTTTACTATCTGACCCTAGTCTATCAGGTCTCATCATGACTATAGATCCTCTTTCTCTCAGGCCTGGGCTACCTTGCCAGGGGGAGATCTAAGAGCAGGCCACTAAGTCCATGTCAAAGACAGCCCCTGAACAAATGAACTGACAGAGGTCTTGGCAGCATGCACAGTTCCTGCATAGGTCGAAGCCAGTCAGCATTCCAGCACTAAAATGAGGAAGTAGACAGGAACTTCCATCTCTAACCAAGAAGCTATCCCCAGTTGGCAACCATTTGCAAAGAAAAAATGAGTTTTCTCCAACAGAGTGTCACTGGGTATAAACCACACTTAAGTGTTGTCCTTAGGCCCAGCAATAGATGGCCGTCACAAAATCAGCTCAATGGTGGGTTTGTAGTTGTTTTTGTTTGTCTGTTTGCTTGGGGTTTTGTTGGTAATAGTGGGTTTTTGCTTTTTTTTGGGGGGGGGGTGGAATTTTTACCTTACTGTTTTTTTTTCCTGTATAGTTTAGTTTTTGATTTTGTGCTGTGTGTGTGTGTGTCTGTGTGTGTGTGTGTGTGTGTGTGTGTGTATTTTTCATGCTTTTTCTTTTTTTTAATTCTAGTTTCTTTCTTTTTGGTCTGTTTTCAGAATGGTGTGGATTTGGATGGATGAGAAGTTGGGGAGAATGAGAAAAATCCTAGGAGGTGAGAAAGGGGAAACTGTGATAAGAATATAGGGAAAAGTTAATTCCAATAAAAATAATTAAAGGAAAAAAATAAATTTTACCTCTTTGCCTAGTTTGAGTAATAGAGTAATACTGGCTTTGTAGAAGGAGTTTGGAAGTGCCCATCTTTATTTCATTAGTTCTTTCTCTTTCGTTTCAAAATAATTTAAGGAGTATTGATAGGCATAGTGGCACACACCTTTAATCCTAGCACTGTAGAGGAAAAGGCAGGTGGATCTCTGTGTGTTACAGGCCAGCTCTGTTTACCTTGTATGTTCAAGGACACAGCCAGAGCTACGTAGTGAGACATGTCTCAAAACAAAAACAGATAAAACCACCACTAACCACCACAGCAAGACAAACACAAAAAAATATTGATTGTGGATCAATCAATAGAATTCTTTTGTGACTCTATCTAGAGCTTGGCTTCTTTCAATTGGAAGTCTTTCTATTGCTGCTTCAATATCTTTCATTATTATGGGTGTCTGTAAGTTCTGGGTTTCTTCTTAGTTTAACATTGGTAGTGTGAATGAATTTAGATATTCATTTCTCTTAGGCTTTCTAACTTAGTGGAAAGTATTCCATTATATTTGAATTTCTATAGTGTGCCACTGTATGGGGATTCCTTGTTCATCTTTGCTTCCCGTAATTTGAATTTTCTTTTTCTTTATTTTGGTTAATTGATCTAAGGCTCTGTGGATTTTGTTTATCTTTTCAAAGAAGTAAATCTTAGACTAATTGTGTCTTTGTATTGTTTTCTTTGTTTTTATTTCATTTCAGATTTCAATACTACAGATAAAGAAAAAAAGTATCATTAAAGTTGAGATGGTTCCATGAGCAAATTATTCAATTATGTGGATCTGAGTTCAAATTCCCTGGACCCACATAAAAAGCATTGCTTAGCAGTGCCCTTCTTATAATCCTAGGATTGGAGAAGCAAGTTAGGAGGATCACTGGAGCTCACTGGCTGTTAGTCTAGACAATTGTTCAATAAAAGACTGTCTCAATAAATAAGATGATCATGGAATATACCTAATATTGATCTCTGGCCTCTACATGAATAAAAACACACATGTACACACACACATGCATTCAACACACACACACATAAAGGAAAAAGGTGTTGTTAATATTTTTATGTGTTTCTTTATACTTGAAGTGATATATTTTTAAGCTGCTGGCCTGGTCAACTTTGAAATTGAAAAGAAAACACTTTGTCAATTGTTATTTAAAAAGAGATTAGTTTATTGGAGGCTAACTTTTATACTTATTTGTGTGTGTGTGTGTGTGTGTGTGTGTGTGTGTGTGTGTGCCACTTATGTGCTGGTATTCATGGAGAATACAGCATTGGATTCCTTGGAACCATACTTACAGGAGGTTGTGAACCTCTGACTTTGGTGCTGGGAATTGAACTCAGGTCCTTTAGAAGAACAGCAAGCATTCTTAACTACTAAGTCATCATTCTAAGCCCTAAATAGTTATTAGTTTTATTTTATAGAATTCAACATTAATATTAAAATTCTATAACTATAAGGGAATGTATGAGGAAAAGAAGACTTCATTTTTGTTTGTTTTTGTTTTTTTGTAAGAACACATAACTTAAGATCAACCATCCTGATAATTTTTTGCAGTGCACACACAATATAGAATTCTTAATAGGCAACAGGATATGCAGAAATTCAAATTTTGAGGTGGCTTGAGTCTTAAAGTTCTTAGGAAAAGGAATCATTTAGTTCTTAGAACAGTTTAAACAAACAGCCGGCAATGTCCTTGTTGCAGAACATAGGCAAGAATATTCAACATTGCCTTTTTTTTTTTAATACAAGAGGAAGACAGTCACAAAACTCTACCATTTATGTTAATTTCAGTGAAGAAATAAAGCACATTTTTATCGCCATTTGTCATGTCATCAGCTTCAAAGACTGGGAAAATTATCTACACTGTGCTTCAATCCTGCCTGTGTTTCGTTTTCTTTATGTAATGAAATGTGAAAATAGCAAGCTAGTTTAAATGAACTCCGTAAGATCAAGGGACTATGCGAAACCGCATCACGCCAACCAACAGTCTATTAATCAAGAAAAATGTATAGGTGAATTCTGACCCAGGTTCTAGAAAACACATAGCAATAGAGAACTAGAACTAAAATTTTAAATGAATTTTAATCTAATTCTGATTGACTCACAATGGAAAATGACACAAAAAAGATCAATTGTGAAATACTCCAAAATCTGGTCTAATGTTCTGTTTTTCTCATCTGATGTATCAGTTTTAACTTATTTAAGAATTCATTGATAAATAAAACAGTGTTTGACTGAAGCGAAGTCTGATTCATAAAGCAAAAATAAATCTAACATTACAAAAGTCAGATGTAATTTTGTTGGTTAATTTTACTGTCTATATATTATAATGAACTTTTATTAAGTGCCTTCTGTGAGCACATTTTGAACACATAATATTAAGTCATATACCTGGGTTATTAATTCAACTTCTGCACAATGATTTGAAATGCCAATTTGGTAAATGTGTCCCAGATGATTATATTGTAACCAATTTGATGTAATCAGGTAGCTAAGTGACTTATCTGCGCTTGGCACACAGCTACTTTCCTTATCCTGTATCAGTCATAAGTACCAAAATGAGATATGACACCAGCTGCTTTGGTACTGATGCTCCCACCTATTACAGAGTGCTTTGCTTCATTAGACATCAAGATGGACCTTAACTGGAAGAACCCCAGCTGTACCTGCAGCCTTTATTTCTCCAGTACTGCAGTACTATGTGTATCAGACAATCAGAAAAATCAATAGGAGCAAAAGTGTCCCTTTTGGACACTTTTTGGAGAATACTTATGGTGCTGAGAGATGACTCACAGGGAGGATGACTGAATGGGGCAATATATCCAAGAGAAAGTAGCAGGTTATTGCTAGCACATCTAATTCACCATTCTAACTTTTTCAAACTTTCATACTTAATAGCTAGTGGTTACCTCATCATTACACTAATAATTAAATACCTGCACTATACACAGGAATCAAAACTGTATATATTAAGTAAGACTATAAAAATTTGCAATTTCAATAGCAAAAAAAGTCTCAAATCTTGCTTCTGTTGCTAAATTAATTTGAATGTTATGTTATTTAACATAATAAAAATATTTTATCATTACATTTTGAACCCATTGATACTTCGTGAATATTTTGTCCCATAATGTCAATCTGACCCTAGGATTTGTTTCCTGTTTATTCCAATACTTTGAATGAATCTAATCTACTCAAGGTAATCTCCTAGTATCATTTGCTAGAGCCACAGCAAAGACAAACAATATCCATGAAGTCATAGAGCTTCATGTTACTTCTCCTCCCATGATGGGAGGCAGACGATTAGCAATACACCAGGAAGATATATAGACGGAATTCAATCAAGCATAGCAAAATATTTTTAGGTTAGATCTGCTGCCTATGTTCTTTAAGAGAGGATGGTAGAGAAAAGAATTTCTAAGAAGCCAGCATATACAACATCTAGGAAAAAGGAAATGATAACAATCCGTTACTAGTTATTAATAAGGAAATGAATGACATTGTGGGTCTACAGTTGAATTAAATAAAAACGAAGCAGGGATACAAAGTGAATAACATCGTACAAATATTGGCATGATAATTATAATATTTTAACACTGTGAAACACATTGTTCATTCTCATAAGTAAATTTCGCATGATGTTTCCTTGTAAACTGTTAAGCAAATAGCAATAGGATGTTAGAATAAAAAGCACCATCTTCCTCTGGCAAGGCTGCAAACCCCAGGGACAGGTGATGAAAGAGCAGAGCCACTGAGTTCATGTCAGAGACAGCTCCTGCTCCCCTTAGTAGGGAACCCACTTGTACACTAAGCTGCCATGACCTTCATCTGTGCAGGAGGTCTAGGTCCTCTCAACTCATGGTCCTTGGTTGGAGTATAGTTCTTTCCAGCACCCCCACCCTGGGCCCAGGGTTTTTGGCTCTATTGGTCTCCACTGGCAGCAGTGCTGATGAGACCTGATAGGCTAGGGTCAGATAGAAGAAGAGGAGGACTTCCCCTATCAGTGGACTAGGGGAGGGGCAGAGGGGAGAAGAAGGAGGGAGGGTGAGACTGGGAGGAGATGAGGGAGGGGGCTACAGCCAGGATACAAAGTGAATAAATTGTAATAAATAATAAATAAATTTTTAAAAAGAAAATAAAAATAGAATAAAAAGCACTAAATAAAAATGCACCCCCCCCCAAATTATGGAATTTTCAAACCAACAGAAACAAAGCAAGAAAATAACTTTCAAGGTAATGGTATACGATAATTTGGAATGTGGATGATAAACATATTTATTCATCTAAATGCATCTCCTATAATTTTCTACAATTTATCAAGTATTTAACTGAAACAGATTTATTCAGCAGTGATGAGTCCAGAACCCACATATAAAAGGTCATAGATTGCAGAATTTGTGTGTATGTGCATGTGTATGTGTGAGAGCCTTCATTTAAAGGCGATTTTAAAATGAAGAAAAAATACCTCTGATCGTGTGTCTTTTTGCTAAGATATATACTGAAACAGGGCTATCAGATGCCTGTCCATAATCCTAGCACTTAGGAGATGGAAGCAAGGGAATTATAATTTGAGACCATCCTTATGCTATGAACAGACATTGTTTAAAGAGAGAGACTATAAACATATTCATTTCCTTGTTGGATTTCTGCTGTTTAGAAGACTTTTCATTTTGATTTGAAGCCTAATAAATCCCAAGATTAAAATTTAGTTTTGACAACACACACATAACTTAACTTTATCAAACTCATTAAAAATAAAAAACTCAATAGTAGTTCTGGATGTCATATGAATGAAAGACTTAAAGCTAGTAAAATCTCAGACCATTACAGTGATCTCCTTGGGATTCTAAAAATTGAAAACCTTGAAATAATTCATTGTGTTTTTTAATTCACTCTTATTCTTATCATTATTCTATAAAATGTCACACAATCCAACTACCATTGTCAATGCAATTCCCTAGGCATAAACTCCATTTAACATTTAATCACATATTAAATAAGCTCAGGATATTTAAATATTAATTAACTTAAAATAGAATACTTTTTGAGAAAGCTTAATTCAACATTAATTTTAGTACCAAGAAAATGCTATAAAAAGTATACCAATATATTTCAATGAGTTGAAACTTCAACAGAGTGAAAATATCTTCCATCTTACAAGTATTCTACTAGCTAAGTCTCCCTAAAGCAGTAGCAATGGCTTCTTTTCCCGTGACTCTCCTAAAATAAGTATAAAACAAAATCAAGAAAGATGTGGTTAAGGACATAGGGGTTACAGACCTCCTTTCCATAGCACGTTTTCAGGAAACAAATGTATTATAAAACTACATGTGTAAAGAGAAGCACATGATCGTCATGGAACCAGAAGAAGAAGCTTGGTGCAGTGTGTCATGGAAGAACTATCTGTAATCTATGAAAACTTGTTAATCTCAAACATGTGTAAATAGTCATTCAGATAGAAGATAACAACAACAAAACTCCCCACTCACAAAATTCTTACACACCATAAAGAAAAGTGATAAAGTGAATGCTACAACCAAATCATCAGTCAAAGCTAATGGCTCAGAAGATAATCTTCAAGATCATAAGAATAATAACTATAATTTTTCCAGGAAACAAAACAGGATGAGATAACTTACAAAAACTATCTAATGGAAGGATCAAATAAATAGTAGGTTGTTCATTTATATTTTTATTGGAAAAATGCATATTTAACGATAAAACCAAAACTTGTAATCATGCTTTGGTTTTTGCCTGAGTTTATAGGATAAGGATTAAGAGAAATTGCAGTGAAATGGAGTGCAAACTTTTAAGTATAATTTGCCTGCAAATTTCATGATTTCCTTGTTTTTAATAGCTGAGTAGTATTCCATTGTGTAGTTGTACCACAATTTATGTATCCAATCACTTATAAGTGGATATTATACCTATAATATAGGATAAAACATACTAAAATCTA